TGCCCACGTGGAGCTGGGGGCCTGCTTGTTTCCTTTGGACACAGAGTGTCGGGCACCGTCCTCGATATCGGGCCCCTCCCAAGACGCGAGGGGCTTTCTGTCTTCACCCAGACTCAAAGAACGGCCGGCTGGCACAGCAACCGAGCCACGGCGTGGTGGGCAGAAGCCGAGTGCCCATTGCCTTGGGGGGGGGCATCTGTCCTGGCGGGAGGGGGCAGGGAGGGAGGGGGGGAGGGGAGGAGGGGCTGTCGGGGGGAACCTCGGGGGGGGGCTGGAGCTGGAACAACAGAGACGGGACAAAGACGGTGGCTGTGTGCATGCACACATACACTCAGCCCCGAGACAAAGGCCTTTCTGTACCGTGGGGCCTGTCACCCTCGGGGTGCGCTTTCTCTTTCTTCGGCCAAACAATGGCCGGCCTTTACACTCCCTGGCCCCACTCAGGGCCCCCTGTGGGGCCATGGGTTCGGGGTTCGAAACAGTGAAAAAATGCCTGGGTGTGGGGCAAGGGAGGTGATGTGAGACGGAGCGTGGTGGGAAAACAGCAGGCGATGTGAGCTGAGGGGCAGAAGGCAAGGGAAGGGCTGCCGACGGAAGGGGTGCTCTTGGGGGCAATTTTTTAAAAAAATATATATATATTTTTAAGACTGATTTGTATAACCAGCCTAGCGGTCACGATGCTCTAGGCCGTTTACAAATTAAAAACTCTAAACCCCACGCAACCTCATATAACAATACAACCAATATCACGGTTGTATCTAAAATTCATACCCCCACCCGTTAAAAAGCAAGCAGAAGGAAAAAAAAAACACACATGTACACATCAATATTTACAGCATCTGGGAATAAGTTCCTGAAGGCAGTTTTGTGTAGTTGGGTCTCCACTCATTTCCTGAATGTCAGGAGGGACATCCCGGTTTGGAGATTGTTGCACAGACTGGAGGGAGGGGGGGGCACCACCAAGAAGGTCCGGTTCCTTGTTGCTGCCTTTGAGTGTGGCTTCTTGAGAGGAGTGTGTGAAATGGGTAGCTGTTTTCTGAGAGAAAGATTTTCTGATTTTCCTAAACCATAAAAGACTATAAACCAGCACCTTGAACTGAGCGTGGAAACTCGGGGGGGGGGGCAATGAAGATGCGCCAAGCCCGGGAACATACGTGTATCAAATGTACTCGTCTCAGTCCTCCGTCTGACGGTCGCATTTTGGACCTGCTGAGGTTCCTGTACTGTTTCCAGGGGCAGCCCGGCAAAGAGAGCATTGCAGCAGTCTATTTTTGAGATTACCAATGTGTGAACTACTGTTACCAGGCATTTCTTATTGGGATATTGGGACCACTGGGCAGTCAGCCAAAGGAGATAAAAGGCACTCTTGGCCACAGTCGATATTTGACCTCCATAGAGAGTGCCAGGTCCATGAGTTCTCCCATGAGTCCTTCGGGGGGGGGGAGAAGTGTAGCCCCATCGAGGCCAGGTAGATTCCCTTCCTCCGACTGGTCCCACAGTCCTCCTAGCGGCAGGATCCCCCTCTTGCCTGGATTCTGTTTCAGCATCTTGGCCCTTCACTGGTCCCTTCCCAGCACTAGGCCAGTCATGGAGCAGATGGTGTGCCCGGTCTGTGTAGCATTTACTGGGGGCCTGGCAAAAGGGGTTAAATTGTTATGCACACAGTGCTCTAAACGGGATGGTCCTTCCTCCCTCTGAGGGTGTCTCCCAGTCACCTGCGGAGAGGCAGACGTGGGGCAGAGGGAGGGTAGCCTCTAAGGCCTCTCTTTCCCACCAGAGAGATGCTAAGAACCACAGTGGTGGATACTGGCGGCGGGGCGGTGGGGGGGGGGAAATCACAGTGTCCCCTTGGTTTTCAGCCTCTCATATTTTGAGCAGCATCAGGGCCTCTTATGTCCTTGGTGTGTTTCTTAGACGTGGCAGGGACCCCCTTCTGATCCCAGGCCTGATGAATTGTCTGCATAGCCATGGGCCCGGTGGAGGAGGGCGACCCTCCAGAACCGGAGGCAGGACCGGCTGGGTTGGCCCAGGTGCCCGTGGGGTTTCATGGGTCTCCATCATAGCACAGCTGCTGAGGCCTTCCTTGCATTTTCATTCATTGCATTTATTTAATATTTCAACTTCTATACCATCCCATTGCAAACATTATCTGGGCAGTTCATAACACACATCGTCATTACAATCAAACAGTGAAAAAATTACAATATACACTAAATGCAATAAAAAAATCCTGTCAGTAGTAGCTAAATCTGCATTTAAATAGAATTAAACATATTTGGACATCTCAGGACAATGGTTGAAGATTAATAAAAGGCAGTTTTTATTTTTATTTCCTAAAAACAGAGAAGGGCGGGGTGGCTATGTTTGCTGGGATGATGATCTTCAGAACAGCTGTGATGGGGACTGGGAGCAAAGGCCGCCTGTGTCTGGTCTCCTCTTCACCAGCCCGTTGCCAAAGGGAAGCCTGCCAGGAGAACCGGAGAGCAATGGGCTTCTCCCACTCCTCCTCCCAGCCCCCAGCCTCACTTTGTGGCCAGAGGAACCTAAGAAGAACCTTCCTGGATCAGGCCGAGGGGCCCCTCTTAGTCCAGCTTCCTGGATCTCACCGTGGCCCCACCAGATGCCTCTGTGAGAAGACGAGATCCCTGTCTCCTGATAACCCTTCCCCTGCATCTGGCATTTGGACATACCTTCCTGGTGGCAAGGAGTTCCACAGACTAACACCATGCTGGGGAAAGCAATATTTTCTTTAGTCTGTTCTCACTCTCCCAGCACTCAGCGGGAATGGATGTCCCCTGGTTCTGGTACTCTGGTATCTGGCATGCAGTCCTTTATTCTGAAGGGAAGAGGAAGGCCAGTCTCCTGTCTCTCCCCCCCCCCCCCCCGCTCAGGAATCTTTGCAAGCTGCTCTTCTACCAAGTCAAAACTTTGCTCCATCTTGTCTCATAGGCTCAACTAGAACTAGGTCTTCAGTTTGCTCTTATAAAAAAAACGGGAGGGGAGACTCCTGGTGTTCTGTTGAGATGCTCCTCCTCCTGTCTGGGAAGGGACCCCCTCCTTGTCTCGCTGGGGGCCCAATTTTTGCCCCACATAACTCTTGGGGGGGGGTTGCTCACACTCTTCACAGCACAAGGCCTCCTCCAGCCACTTTCCTCAAGCACGGGTCCCTCTTGTCGTGCATCTGCCTCTCCTCCGGCTGAGCCCCCCCCCCAAAAAAAAGCTGGATCCGACCTCTGCAGCCTTCTTGGGATTTGTGCAGAGGTTGCCTTTCCGAAGGGTCCAGAGTAAGGCTGCGGGGCTCGTTTTTGCTCACGGCATGGTGGCCGCACCGCCACCCAAGGGACACTCTGAATGCTGCAAATGGAGCTGGAGAAAGCGACCCTGGGGGCTTGCACCCGAGGCCGAGCTTTGGCCCAGAGGCGCAGTGGCAGGCAGAGCCTCCACGTGGCCCCTCAACTAGTGTCGAGCTCAGCTTCCAGAGTTGCTCTGTGTGTCCTTGTTCATCTGTTTACGCATATGGGGAGAATTGCACTGGAAAAGAGTGCCTTGCGATTCCTAAGACGGAGCATCAGTGTCTCAAAAGCAGGTCATGTCAGACTGATCTTCTCTCTCTCTCTTTTTTTATTGCATCACAAGCTCAGTGGATAAGGGGGATGTGCCTTGATTTCAGGAAGGCATTTGCCAAGGTCCCCCGGAATATGCTTGTGGCCAAGCTGGTGATATTTGGGCTGGCTAGACAATGGTCTTGTCCGATAGATTTAACCACCCGGTTGAGAGTCTGTGCCCCCAAAACTGCTCCCCAACAATTCCTGGAGGTCATCCGGGAGAGACAGGTGAGGGGACCTTGGCAAAAGCCTTAGGCTTTGTGTTCTTCGACATTTTTATACTAAATGACTTGGAGGAGGGTGTGGAGGGGGTGCTCCCCCCTTATGCAAATGACACCCAAACGTGGAGGGGTAGCTGGACACTTCAGAAGACAGACTCAGAACTCAAGAGGGCCTTGACGGATGGGGGGGAGGTGGGGGGGAATGGGCCAGAGGAAGCAACATGAGTTTCAAGAAGGAAAAGATAAAGTCCTGCACTTTGTGGGGAAGAACGAGATGTATGAATGCAGGATGGGAGATGGCTGCCCCAGCGGTAGCGCCTAGGCTTGGTGTTTCAGTAAACTGCAGGATAAACCAGAGTGAACGGTGTGACATAGCAGAAAGAAATTGAGGGGGGGGACAGTGTTTGCGTTTACCCAAATCGCCACTGCTGTGTGGGGCGGCTTGAACAGCAGTGCAGGGTCCAAACTGAAGGAAGCGGCTGGTGCTGCTGTCCTGTGCTTGGTTCAGGCCTCATCTGGAATTGGTTCTGGGCACCACCATTTAAGAAGGATATTGAGAAGGTGAAATGTGCCCAGAGGAGGATGACCAAGATGGTTAAGGGGTCTGGAAAGAACAGAGGAGAAAGCTCAGGGGAGCGGAGTGGGGACCAGCTCCCCCATTTCTAAGTCCATGGGGGGGCTGCTTTCACCTGAAGACAGAAGGGGCTCCTTTTCTCTGGCCCCAGAAGAAGGCAGGACTCAAAAGTCAGGGGTCCAAACGACAATCTCCCTTTGGGGGGGGGTGTTTCCAGAAAACTGAAATTGTGCCTAGCATGTGTGCACACACACACACACAAAACCAACCTCAGGTCTCTGACCCTCTTGGATGTTCCCTGAGCCCCGGAAGGTTTTCACAGGGCGGCCTTTGCGAGGGGGGGAGGGGTGTTCCTAAATCAGGGGGGCTCCTTTTGCTCAGTTCTTAGGTCTGGCCTCTGGTTCAGCAAGGTGGGCTGCCTGGCCTCCAAGCAGAAAGAGCCGTTGGCCACCCCTGCAATAGAGCCCCCAAAAGCCTTTGAAGCTCCTCTCTCTCTCTCTCTCTCTCTCTCTGTGTGTGTGTGTGTGTGTAAAAGTAAGTCTAAAAGAGCAAGTGAGCAGATCTCCAAGACCCCACTGACCCCTGTGTCCTTTTGCAGAGACATGCTTGCCAACGCGGCCACGATGCGGATCCTGATCAAGGGGGGGAAGGTGGTGAATGACGACTGCACCCTGGAAGCGGACGTCTACATTGAGAATGGGATCATCCAGCAGGTGGGCCGTGAGCTCATGATCCCCGGTGGAGCCAAGGTCATTGATGCCACGGGCAAGCTGGTCATCCCGGGGGGCATTGACACCAGCACCCACTTCCACCAGACCTTCATGAATGCTACCTGCGTGGATGACTTCTATCATGGCACCAAGGTACTTCCCTTCTCTGCTGGCGGGTGGGGGTGGGGAAAGAAAGAAAGAAAAGGTACCCAGAAAGGTAACCTGGTCAAGGACATGGACGTGGTCCCCGGTGCTTGGCTTTCAAGAGACTGGGCTGGAGAGAGGAGGGCTTTAGACCAGGTTCCCTTTCTTTCCCCCCAACGGTAAGGAGACAATTGCAAAAGTTCCTAAGAGGTGGTCTAAGAGGGACTATCTCTAAAACAGGCCAAGGGGGATGTTCCCCAAACTCTCCCAGCCAGCCTGACCACCAGGCCCTGCTGACTGGTGAGTTCTAGGAAAGCTAACTTTGTATTTGCGAAGCCTTTCACGGCCGGGATCTAATGGTTGTTGTGGGTTTTTTGGGCTCTTGGGCTCTTTGTTCTGAAGGTTGTTCTTGGTAACGTTTCGCCCGTCTCTCTGTGGCCATGGGCATCTTCAGAGGACAGCACTCTGTGCTCTGGGGGCACGGAGTGGAAGGGAAAAGAGTGCTGTCCTCTGAAGACGAAGATACATTAGGAAGAACAACCTTCAGAACACGGCCAAAGAGCCCGAAAAACCCACAACAACCCAAGCTGACTTTCCTCGTCTCTCCATCGCATGAGGAGCCAATGGCTTCTCCTTGATCTCAAGGACCAAGGAGGGGCACCAGCGGGGAAACCCTCGTGGCCTCCTGTGGCCTGGAGGAGGGGAACCTTTTAGCTTCAGCTCATGTGCTGCGGCCTTTTCCAGCGCTCCAAGTGGATCAGGTGGCTTGTCGGACGGCCTTCTCTGAGTTGGCAAAGGTGATGGTAGCCACGTTTTTCCTCTGCCACCCGGCATCGGCAGATTTCCTGGCATGGTGGGTGGCAAGAAGGTGGACCAATCTGACAGCCCATTGCAAACTGTGGGTGGCACCCTCGGCTGGCGGAATTTCTTCCGGACGGGGACTTGTAAGTGGTAGCTGATGCAGTCCTGCTCGATGTGACGTCTCCCCCCCCCCGCCCACCAGGTGACAGGAGCGGTGAGTGCTTCTTTATAGCAAGACAAGGATCCAACACGCTGGAGGGAAGCCGCCGTTCTGCCCTTGACAGGAAGAGAAAACTTCTTCTTGGATCCATCCCACAGAGGACGGTTTCCAGCCAGTCTCTAGCATCCTATTCTGGATTGGTGGCGGTGGGGGGAGTCTGGGGGGAGCAGGTGCGTCCCTCTGCCTTGCGGGTGCTCTTGAGCGAGATGAAGGAGTGATCCATTCTCATTGGGCTTCAGGCGTGCTTATGTTTACAGGATGAGGAAGGTGTTGGACCCCGTGGAGCTCGTGGGGGGGGGAATGTGTCCCCATTGGCTTCTCTGGACCTCTCAACGCCTGGGCATGACATTGATAATGGAGGCCGTTGACTGTCTGGAGGAAGGGGGCTGGCTTGCTTCCGTGCGCATGCCCCCCCGATGGAACACTGAGCGCTGCCGTTGGAAATACTACTGTGCACATGCAGAAATATCACAGTAGTATGTCAATGCGCATGTGTGCGCACGTCCTGCAACACCCACATCCTCATGCATGTGAGGTGTGCTGTCCCCCACTGACCCCACCCCCGCTGTGGATTATCTATCTAGGGCCTTTGCGTGGGGCATTCGGCGCTTTGCCTAATCTCCGGTTCCTGTTGGCCTCTGGCTTGCAGAGAATGATCAATATACTAGGAAGACGAACGTGCACAAATGGGGTTGGGGGGGGCTTTCTCTTTCTGTGGTGATGGGAAAGCGGTGGGGAGAGCCATGGGTGGGGCGTAGGGTGGCAGAGGCCACGACTGTAGAGGGCGAGGTCTTGGCCCTTCTGTAGAAAAGGGGCCCACCAGCCACGGCAGGCCTGGCCTCCGAGGTTCAGCCCAGACGCCTCCTCCTTGGACCAGGGGCTGGGCTGAGCCCTTGGGGCGGGGATCCCTCTCCGGCTGGGCCCGCGAAGGATCCGGGGACTCCCCGGGGCTGCCCCAGCCCCACCTTCGAGGAAGACGCGGACCCTTTCAGGTGCCCTGGCAGAGTTCCCAGGCCGGTCGCTCTCTTTGGAGACCCGGGCTTTGGCTCTCCCTCTCTCTCTCTCTCTCTCTCCAGCCCGCATCAGCTTGAACGCAGCCCACCGTCCTGCTCACTCAGAGGAAGCCATCACAAGATGAGGCCCTTTGTTTTCCCTTCTCCCTGAATTGGGACCCTCCTGCTTCTTCCAAGGGAGGCCATGGACATCCCGGGTTCCCCCCTCAGCCTATCTGTGGTTTTCCATTCCTCTCTTTGGGGCTCTGGCCTTTCGTTTGCTGGGGGGAGTCCCAGGAAGGGAGGGGCCCTCCTGGCCTGAGGCTTCTCGGGCTGGCTTTCCTCCGCTGCCTGGCTGAGATCCCATTTCCAGGAGCAGTCGTGCCGCAGCGTCTGCAGAAAGGGGACCCCACCCACCTCCCTTTGCTTGCTTGCTTGCTTGCTTGCTTGCTTGCTTGCTTGCTTGCTTGCTTGCTTGCTTGCTTGCTTGCTTGCTGCCGATTCCTCCAATCCCAGCTCTGCCCCCCCTTTTGGCCCAACTCCATGTTTGATGGTGGCACCTGCCTTGGGAAGCCAGAAAAGCAGCTCGTGTCCGGTGGGAGTTGTGCGCCCCTTTATCTCTCGGGTCACAGGGTTCTGTGCCACTGCGCCTCATGGGTGAAAGGGACCGAATCGTGGAGCAAAATTGAGGCAGCAGACCGAGGAGGCTGTTATGCTGAGTTTGGGACAGGCATTGCTTGCTGCTGCCCCCCCACCTGGGGCTTTAGGGGTCTCTCGGCTGAGCAATTGTGAGACCCACACCCCATCCGCCAGCACTCCTGTGCCTCACCGGGCACCCAGTCTCTCCGCACAGGCTGGGTTTTGCACATAGAACCCCTTCCTTCTCCCGCCCGGCGCCCAAGGCCCCGATTTCCCCCCCTCCTCCTGGGATGCCAATCAGTCCGAGGTGCCTGGCACACAGGTGGCAGGAAAGAAGGCGAGAAAGAGGTGGTTGCAAAGGGAGGCAGCAGGAGGCAGTGGCTCTGGTGGCAGGATCTGCTTCTGGGTGATGCCCAGATTCCAGTGGGAATGCAGGTTTCCTTTGGGAGGTGGTGGTGGTGGTGGTGGGGAGCCTGGCCAGGGCAGCACCTGGAATGTTCAACCGGGAGCCGTGTTGCCTCCACCGTGGTCTTGCGTAAGATCGCTCGGGCATCCTTCAACCCTCGGGATGATGGGCGGTCTGTCCGGGGCACCTCTGCCCACTGCACTGACTGTCTTTGAGGCCACCCATCAGGAGGAAGGGGGTGAATGTGCTCAAGGTGCTTGTAGCCGTTTGGCCCACAGGTGAAGCCGGGGTGCTCTTTGGGGTTCCACACAGGCTGTTCGCCTGGAAACATAGGCTCTCGCCCTGCAGGAGCATAATTGTGGTGGGAGAAAGCCTTCCCTCCCCCTCCCCCCTCCCCGCACACTCCTCGGGGTGAATAGGGGCTATTTGGAGGGAAGGCTTTTGCCCGTGGGGGTGTACGATCTTGCTCCCCTCACTGCATGGGGGGGGCACACCTCATGCCAGCATGGAGAACCCTCTGGCAGTTGTCGGTGAGTCTCTTGAGCATAGAAAGGAGGTGATGGGCCACTGACCCCCCCACCTCCTACCCCCCCCCACTCTCTTCCTTCAGGAATCCTCTGTTGGGGAGGATGACCTGAGGGTGGGAACGCTGGGAGTTTTGTCCAAAGAGTGTTTTTTTTAAGGGGGAGGGGGTTGTTTGCAGAGGGGGGGGTGAGTTGCTCTGCTTCAGCCTTTGTGACCAAAATGAGGAGGAAGAAGGGCCGTCTTAAAGCACCTCCCAGCTTTATTGTGGCCTGGCCGTGAGAGGAACTTCTCCAGATGCAGGTGGACGGAGGGGCTTCGCCACCCAGGACGCGGCCGGTCCGTGGGATTCCCTGCCACGGGAGGTGGCGTTGGTTGCCCCCTTGGTCCACTTCAGAGGGAGTTTGTTGGATCCGAGGAGGAGGCCGCGGCTGCGAGTCCGGAGGGCTTGGGCTCCTTCAGGGCCACCAGCCACGTCTCTCTCTCTCTCGGTGCCACTGGCTGGAGAGCTTCGGTCGGTGTAGGGGGGAGGGAGGGAGGGAGGGATAGGGCTGGCCCCGTCCAGGGGAAGGTGGGGCAGAGAGGCCTTGGGGGGCTTGGCCGCTTCCTGACCCTTTGGATCCCTCCCCTCCCCTCCCCTTCTGCTGTGACCCACCCTGCCTGGCTCCCCAGCTGACATGGGCCCGCTCCACCCATCCCAGGAGCCCACCGACGTCAGTCCACCGACACACACCCCCCCACCGCCTGCTTTGGGGCTCCTTCCCTGCCCGCTCCACAAGCCTTGCCTTCTGTGTACGGGCAGCCCCCTCACCGGCCCTGCCCCCTGGCTTTGGGGGCTTCATCCAGAACAAGCTCTCTTTCTTGTGGGGGGGGGAAAGGGGGCTGGAAGCCTGGCCCCTCCACTGGAGAAGCTCTGAAGCATCAGGCTTGAGGGGGAGGGCTGAGCGAGTGGCGTGACCTAGAGAGGGGGGGCAGGGGATGGAGTCAGATCCCCACCCCCACCCCTGGCAGCTGTCAGAGAGTCTTCCCGAAGCAAGATCCCTATTGTTTTGGGTCAGGAGGTGGCAGCTGTTGCGGCCACGTGTGGGTCAGGGCCTGCAATGCAGAGCTGGTATCCTGGGGGGGGGCAGAGAGAGAGGAGGAGAAGAATCTGCCTCCTGTGATTGCCCCCCACCCCCACCCTCTTAGTCTGGGAGAGGCAAACCTTCCTCTTCATCACTGGGAGAGCCGGCCTGGCATTTATCCTAGAAAAAAGGGGTCAGTTCCAGAATGAAACCAGACCGCCAACATTTATCAGAGTATCAAGGTGTACATTCACCGTTGCAGTGATTCCAGGTAACTTCAGCCTATCTATTGCTTCAAGCTTTATTCATCTGCATTGTTTCTATCTTCCAAAAGCACAAAAATCCTTCAAAGTTGTTGAGAACAT